GACTGTGTTCGTTAAATTTCTACAATACAATTGGTAATGCTAAAATATGAAATAATTTCATAACAGTACATTACTCTGCAAATTGTAAGTTTATTTTAAAAAGGGCTTTGCGTGCTTTGGCAGTGAGTTTACCTGTATTTGGTTGATCGTAGCTAGAAAACAAAGGTAGACACAGTAAATCCGAGACGCAATCTCTAGACTACAGGATTGGGATCATTGTATGCAATTCACAGTTCATTCGTGTGGCTGAAAGTGTTAACAATAGTTTAAAATAGTCCGAATCGTCACAATAAAGCACAATGGCAAAGTTGGCCGTTCCTTTGATAGACATTGGTACGACATATGCACTAACGTATATCTATGTTTTCATATGACTGTAATAGTTGAACGCTTAGTACTTTTTAGAATGTCTGAATCACAGATAAAGGTTTACCTTTCTTGATACTGCTATACTAGTCGCACATTTTAGAGAACTAAAAAAAGCGTAATTCTGTGATAAATTATCTGTAATTTTGTTTAATTTGCTATTGCTTTGTTCCTAGAGCAGGTCGCCCCCTAGAGTTCATTTTATATTTATTTTGTGTTTTCTTGTACAGCGCCCCAGCGGGCTTGTTCGACATCAGTCAGCAATTTCGCTGTTTCCTCCACGCTCTCGTCAGTCACAATTCCGATTTTACACAACATACATAATCCTCACCCACCCACCCACCCAATATTTAGCTTATTTTATATTTATGTGTCAGTTTTCGAAATTTACCTTTTGTTCTGTTTCACCCTAGCTTACATTTCTTTGTATTACAATTTGGTGTAATGCTTGTGTTTTAGTTTGTTCCGTAATAAAGCATTGCCTTCTCTCCTAAACAGGTGTTGCATTTTAGTTGTTATGTTAGCAGTAGTGTGACCGCCGAAGCTCTTCTAATAAAAGAGTCTTACACAAGTTTCTGTATACTGATTTTCCGAATGTTATTATCCGTAATTGGTGAGGTCAAATTGACCGAAAGTCAATCTATTTCAACAACACGTTCACTGGTAGTCAAAAGAAACTGCAGTGTTAATAATATAAAACTGAAATACATGAAAATACAAAGAAGATTCAAATATTGCAAAGACGAAAATACGAGAAGTACGAGTACGAGCCATCCATCTCAACAGATACTTACGAAAGTGACCGGAGTAACATGAAGGTCGTAATGAGTCAGTCACATGTACAATTGTCTTCAAAATAAAACAAATTAAGTGTCACAACAAACTCCAAAAAATACAACTAGTCATCCCGACATGGATTCTCATAAAGAAAGTGTATCCATGGCAACAAATCGCACAACGAAACACAGGAACTACTTTACGTGTAAGGATACTAGCGCAATAAGACGACAGACTATCCAAGTTGCCTGCACGGCGCCCTCTATAGCTAAAACAAAAGTTGTATGAGTCAAATAATTACAAGGCCAAATTTTGGAGAAGAAAATACTTACTGTTACAGTAGTTTTATCGAGATACGAATATTGAATGATGTTCTGTGTTATTATAGTGATCCTTATTGTTCTTGTTCAGTCTTTACTCAAATGCTAGTCAGTAGCAATCTCACGATGAAAGTTCTATATCTATTTCCCAATCAAATTTGTGATTTTTTGTATTCATTTTACAGTATTTGTTTTTATGGTGTAATTTTCTATGTGCCATGTGTGGGAAAAAACTCTGGACGATATAAACTGTTTAAGAATCATTGTTATCAATTCAAAATACTGTTTTCCAATTGGCCAAAACCAGCAATGGCGCTGTGACATCATAGCGAGTATAATATTAATGAGTTTGTTCAACATCATCAGATAAACGGTTGTCAACTGATAAACGGTTGAAAATGTTCCATGTACTACTTTAACATTATCAGTTATTTATAATCAAATAACCTGGACTGTGACATTCATATCTTGTTTATTACAAATGGCAGACATTTAAATTAGCGTGACAGTCAATCCCTATTGTCTGATATGCTGATCATCAACCTATTGTTATACTTTTGCCCCTCAAAATACAGCCTGAGGAAATAGCGTTTCAGAGGGTCTATATTTCAACCCCCTAATAGAGCAGATCTCACCCCCTCATGTCGTGCGTAAACGTTCAAAATATAAACCAAATAATAATAATAATAATATTCGGTGGGAAAAATAATTTAGTCAAATGAAATTAAATGTTAAATGTAAGCTCAAAGCTTATTACGTGATTCCCTTGTCTTGTTGAGTCTGCCTCTGATCCTAATTCTTAGCGTTTCTGGTCACTAGGCAGGTCAGCTACCACTAGTGTTCCACACTCAATCTCTTCTCAAGATTGATTAGAATATTTCTCGGCTTTATTCAACACTCCGGGGAATTATGAGATCGAATTTGAGGAATTTTACAATGAAATGGAAGAATATGTCAATGCAACATTCTCCCTAAATCGATCTAATACCAATGTTAATTCAGGAAAAACTTGCGGTATTGATAGTATCCCGGTAGAATGTTTCAGATATCTAGGTTCTAATTGTATTCAGCTGGTGTGCAATATGCAACAAAATACTAGATCTTGGTCAATTCCTTAGTCTATGGGCTATAGGTTTGATCTCTCCAATTTTTTAAAAAAAGGTGCCGCGAAACAGTAATCATCATCATCACTTCCTATTATTGGCAAACACTTTTGTTCTCTGTATATTCTCTCATTGCTGAGGCACAGTCTGGCTTCAAAATGAATGATAACATTTTTGTTTTGAATACTGTATTATGGAAGTACCTGCCAAAGCACAAAACCCGGATGTGTTGTGTCGTCGCTGATTTTGAAAAAGCATTTGATAGGATTGTCCACGACGTCCTGTTTTATAAACTTCTCATATTTAATATGGATAGCAAAGTATTAACACTTATACCTGTAGCACTAAGTATACTTATGGTGTACAGCGAGGCTCCACATTGTCTCCTCTTACATTTAGTCTTTTCATTAATAATATAATATAGGCGATATACTGGAAAGCAGGTGTACAACGAGGTATGTAGGAAGGTTGAAATTACTTTATCTGTTTTATGTCGATGATTTATTTATTCCTTGTAGTTCTAGGATTGCCAAGATTGCCGAGTTTACTGTAAAAAATTGAAGCTTAAAGTCAATGAAAAAAAAGTCTAAAATTATAGTTGTTAAAAACGGGGGCAGACTTAAATCAGATGAGTATTGGTATATTGATGGGCAAAGGGTGGAAGTCGTCTCATATTTTTATTATTTGCATGGATATAAACAATCTCATGATCGCGTTTTATAGACACATGCTCAGCATGCTCTGACAAGTCGCGCGAGTAAAGCGGAGCATAGTATAAAAAGATATTAAGCCAATTTAAAAATATTAAAATTAATATTGCCCTGAAGATTTTTGACGTCAAGTCTACCAATATTGAATTATGGTTGTGATAATTGGGGATACCATGCTAGAGAAAATATTGAAAAAGTCAATACCTCTTTTTGCAAGTATATACTAAATATTGGTTATATTACCTGTAACACTACTAGACTTGGTGAAGTTGGTAAATTTCCGCTGAGAACCCTTATGATTTCTCGTATTGTTAGATATTGGTTAAACATCCTAGATCGTGACAAGACGTCGTATGTTAAATGTTGTTATAATTTGAAATGGCTGAAAAGAGTTAGCGCGGAAAATGTTCACTTTATGTGCTTTACAGAAAGTGGAAGACGAATTTGTGTTTCAAATGTCCCTTATAAAAACATTTCAGAGAAAAATGTCTAACCCCTTACTATTAAAAATACCCATCATTTATAAAATGTATTTGCACTGAGAATATAGCCACATGAAGCTGCTTAGCCATGTTATAAGCATAGATTGTCATCACCAAACTCCATCACTCAGCCTAGTTATCACCATTGGTTGCCATCGCTACGATTTACCACTCAGCTACATTATCATAATAGATCAATTTCACCGAGATATTCCGGTCAACAACTTTCTCAGCATAGATTGACATTGCCGAGACCTACCATTTAGCCATGTCATAAGCATAGATTGTCATCACCAAACTCCATCACTTAGTCTAGTTATCACCATTGGTTGCCATCGCTACGATTTACCACTCAGCTACATTATCATCATAGATCACCTTAACCGTGATATTCCAGTCAACCACGTTCTCAACATAGATTGCCATTGCCGAGACCTACCACCTAGCCATGTTATAAGCATAGATTTTGCATCACCAAACTACATCACTTAGTCTAGTTATCACCACAGATGTGATCTCCCACTCAGCCATATTACCAGCGTAGTTCGCCATGATCTACCTCTTAGCCACTTTAACTGCATAAACACTTTAACATGCCTGGACCAATCAACTTTAAAGACATACATCATATTTGGCAAACACATGAATCATAAAAACGATGAAAACATTCTTAATTTTCGACTCAAACCATGAATATTTAATGGAGCTGTTAATGGAGGGATTGACAAACTAAAAACTCTGTTGACGATGACGGGATTGAAAAAAAAATGCTGAAAAAATGCTCACAGAGATCCCACAATAACAGAAAAAACAATTCTGCACGCCTAAAACTTTCATACAGTGTAAAATATAAGTAAATGATATCTTTTTGTCCCAGAATTTCTAATCGTACGCCTCTAATTTAATATTTCAAATCCATGCATCGAACATTCAGAGAGAATGTATTCTAATTGTTTCAATTATTGATGGTTTTATTTTAATATCGAAAATAAATGATTTTACATAGAATGATGCATGGAAATATTTTGCTTGCTGTCAATTTATCAACTGCAGCTTTGAAGAATGATCATTGAGAAAATATGTATGCATTCTAGACCCACAGTTAAATCTGACTGCCCATTTTTATATTTAGACATGTATTATAAAAGTCTGGTTTATGTGGACTTGCTACTGTTTCTGATATTTTTTAACTTGAACTAAAACGTATTTTAACATTCAATGGCATTCAATCTTTACCAGTTTAATAACATTCGTGCAACTACTGGGTTTATTGTGCGATACATATTTGAGCATTACAGCATAATAATACTAGGATAAGAAGATAAAACATGCACTGGTATAACATAACTTGTCTACCTCAAAATACTATCATTATACATATTGATAATATTATTACAGTCTTCATTTTTTTCTATCACTGACTGCATCTATTAACTCAAAAATCACTACTACTACTGTTATAATTGAGTGCCTTCATCATCATTGTACATTATTCCTCCTCATCATCACTACTACTACTGCTGCTACTACTACTGCCTTCATCTTCACTGCTGCTTTCAGCTTCTTCAAACTCAACTTCAACAGCGTGTTCAAGAGTACAATCATCGTCTTCTTCAGATATCCATCTAACAAAAAGAATATTAGTGATTGATCATTGACAGGTAGCCACATTCTATGTATTTTTTTTTTAACCCAAATCCATAAATTACCCACCTTCTATGATTGAAAAAATATACTTTCTCGTTTTCAACATCAGTAACTATTACTCTCTTCAGATACCAACGAGGACCTAAAACAAACAAATGAAGATATTGCTGATTACACTTGAGTCAATACACCCATATACCTTAAATGTTTGACTTGAAGTGGATTGGTTGATATAATATAAGTACAGGAAGTTCATTACGTGCAGTAATCACTAAACCATTGTACTGTGACTGTACTGCACTGCTACTGCACTGCACTGCACTGCACTGCACTGCACTGCACTGCACTGCACTGCACTGCACTGCGTTGAGATCTTGTTATGGACCAATCGATCAGAATTTAGTAGGAATTCAAATATGGTTGCCATGGAACGAACAATTTCGATTATTATTTCTCATTCATAATTAATTAAAATTTGTAAGGATTTTAACAAAATTCTCAGAAGATGTTGCTCTTTACGCTAATTGAATATGTAAATCAAGTTGTCACATAATTTCATGACTTTTTATTTACAACACAAAAACATATGAATGAATTGTCATGAAATTTTCAGAAGGGGGCACTCTTAATGCGGACCAATCGATTTGATGTTGGTAGTAAATCAGATATGGTTGCCATGGAGCAACAATATAGGGGATTGTTTTTTATTTATAACTCAAACGAGTTTAATTAATAGACCATTTTCCGTTCACTGCGAGAATCACGCGTTATGCGTGAAATCGAACGTAAAAACAGGACAAACAAAGGTCATAGCGTCGTAGTCGCGTCAAACATCGCGTGGGACATTTCCATGCTTAATAATGTGCTGTCCACATTTGATGATAGGCAATTTCGATTAAGTAAGGGTATTCGGAAGAAATATTCCTCTGTCGAAGATCGGCCGGTCAATGTAAGCTACGAAATAAAGAAATTCTAGTTCAAAATCAAATCGTTCGATTTTTGCGGCAGCCGTTCGACGCGCGTCTTTCATGCATCTCGCGAGATCTCGCAATTGTACGGAAAATCACCTATTGTGTTTTATGAAATCTGAAGAGATTGTCTTTGATGCAAGGACCAATCCAGTTAATACTGGTAAAGATGTGGATCTGGGTGTCATGGAAATGACACTTTTGGAATGATTTTTTTTTTTAATTTACAGGCAAGATTTTCCTAAATAGAACCTAAGGTGCTCTGGAATAAATCAGGCTACAAACAACAGAGGTATAGTCATATATATTATCTATGAATATTAAAAAGTTCAATACTGCATCTTAAATAGTAGAACTATATATATACTACTTGTCAAGATTCTTGTTTGAAAGACAAATCTAAAATTTTAAACATTCCCTATTTTTACAATATAATCAGTACTCAGGCGTTCTTTCTAAGCTGTCGTTAATTTCATTCATAATGCAAACATTTCTTGAATATTCTTTCAGCAGGGGTTACCCTTGGAAACAAGTAGAGGGTAGCAGTTCTCGTAAAGACAGGATGCAACAAATAACAACAAGACAGAATACCCTATTAATTGTTACATATTGTTAATTGGTTAATTAAATTTGTTTGTGATTGGCCGATATATACAAGGTCGCTAATAGGATTGGCTGAAATTAACTAAATGTGATTGGTCAAAGCATATTCTAGCCGAATCACATCAGGACAACAAGTACTATTCGATTATATGTTGGTAGTGACATTTTGTGAATGAATAAATATTTGTAATAGATGGATTGTCATGACATTTACAGGAGGGTTACCAATCGGTACGAAGAAATAAATCTCATTGTCATGACAAATGTTTTCTTGTTGCATTAGAAAATAATAGTTATTTAAACTTACGTCTACGCGAACCATCGTGGCCTACAACAAGTTTATTGATATCGCCCAGTGACACTGCTTGTATTACAAAATTATCGATCTGCAAGAACAATTTCCTCACAATTACAGTGATGTTCAAAAGAATGACGACACTTTTATTCAGATATGCAGGAAGATAAACTTTGTACATACCGCAGTTCTGACAAACTTGTTATCTTTTTCAACATAGTTATGGTCATCTAAGGGTCGTCTACCTGTATCACCCCTTTCACCGTGGATCTCTATATAGACATTTGCCCTGGTACCAGCAGATCGTCTTTTTCCTGTCTTCACGCATACATTATAATTTACAACTATAAAGGAAAACAGATTATTAATTAATGATTGTTCTATTCAAACAATATATTAATGACTGTACTGTTAAACCATATATTAATGGCTGTCCTGTTAAACCATATATTAATGGCTGTCCTGTTAAAACCATATATTAATGGCTGTCCTGTTAAAACCATATATTAATGGCTGTTCTATTCAAACAATATATTAATGACTGTACTGTTAAAACCATATATTAATGGCTGTCCTGTTAAAACAATATATTAATTAATGGCTGTCCTGTTAAACCATATATTAATGGCTGTCCTGTTAAAACAATATATTAATGGCTGTCCTGTTAAAACCATATATTAATGGCTGTCCTGTTAAAACAATATATTAATGGCTGTCCTGTTAAACCATATATTAATGACTGTACTGTTAAAACATATATTAATGACTGTACTGTTAAAACAATATATTAATGGCTGTCCTGTTAAAACAATATATTAATGGCTGTCCTGTTAAAACCATATATTAATGGCTGTCCTGTTAAAACCATATATAAATGGCTGTCCTGTTAAAACAATATATTAATGGCTGTCCTGTTAAAACCATATACTAATGGCTGTCCTGTTAAAACAATATATCAATGGCTGTCCTGTTAAAACCATATATTAATGGCAGTACTTCTAAAACAATATATTAATGGCTGTCCTGTTAAAACCATATATTAATGGCTGTCCTGTTAAAACCATATATTAATGGCTGTCCTGTTAAAACCATATATTAATGGCTGTCCTGTTAAAACAATATATTAATGGCTGTCCTGTTAAAACAATATATTAATGGCTGCACTGCTAAAACAATATATTAATGGTTGTTCTGTTAAAACAATATATTAATGGCTGTCCTGTTAAAACCATATATTAATGGCTGTCCTGTTAAAACCATATATTAATGGCTGTCCTGTTAAAACAATATATTAATGGCTGTCCTGTTAAAACAATATATTAATGGCTGTCCTGTTAAAACAATATATTAATGGCTGTCCTGTTAAAACCATATATTAATGGCTGTCCTGTTAACACATTATATTAATGGCTGTCCTGTTAAAACAATATATTAATGGCTGTCCTGTTAAAACCATATATTAATGGCTGTACTGTTAAAAACCATATATTAATGGCTGTCCTGTTAAAACAATATATTAATGGCTGTCCTGCTAAAACCATATATTAATGGCTGTCCTGTTAAAACCATATATTAATGGCTGTCCTGTTAAAACAATATATTAATGGTTGTCCTGTTAAAACAATATATTAATGGCTGTACTGCTAAAACAATATATTAATGGCTGTCCTGCTAAAACAATATATTAATGGCTGTCCTGTTAAAACCATATATTAATGGCTGTCCTGTTAAAAACAATATATTAATGGCTGTCCTGTTAAAACAATATATTAATGGCTGTCCTGTTAAAACCATATATTAATGGCTGTCCTGCTAAAACAATATATTAATGGCTGTCCTGCTAAATCCATATATTAATGGCTGTCCTGTTAAATTAATATATTATTGGCTGTCCTGTTAAAACAATATATTAATGGCTGTCTTGTTAAAACCATATATTAATGGCTGTCCTGTTAAAACCATATATTAATGGCTGTCCTGTTAAAACAATATATTAATGGCTGTCCTGTTAAAACAATATATTAATGGCTGTCCTGTTAAAACCATATATTAATGGCTGTCCTGTTAAAACCATATATTAATGGCTGTCCTGTTAAAACAATATATTAATGGCTGTCCTGTTAAAACCATATATTAATGGCTGTCCTGTTAAAACGATATATTAATGGTTGTACTGCTAAAACAATATATTAATGGCTGTCTTGTTAAAACAATATATTAATGGCTGTCCTGTTAAAACCATATATTAATGGCTGTCCTGTTAAAACAATATATTAATGGCTGTCCTGTTAAAACAATATATTAATGGCTGTCCTGTTAAAACAATATATTAATGGCTGTTCTGTTAAAACCATTTGATGCCAGTCATACATAAAGTATCGAAAATGATATAAATGATGTCAAACGTCACATGTGTATCATCAATCACATATTGTTCAAAACAACCTACGTGGCAATGGATCTTCATCTTCGTAAACTGCCGGTAATTCTCGGATTAACTGTTCATCATCTTTAGAGTCTGAAAACCATTGATCACACGGGAATACGATTGTACCATCCAAACGAACAAACACAATCTAATAACAAATACAAAGAATGTGTCAAACTGGGAATGGCAGGTACACATACCCAATATCCATTTACTCAAAACATTTATTTTGTTTCCCCAAGACGACTCGCTGGCTAGTGTGAGATATAACAATGGTCTGCATGATAGCGTAAAAACCTAACCCTCCTTAGAAACCGTTTAATTAATTAAATTCCCGGTATCTGATTCGAACTCTGATTGTTTATCACATTCTCAAACTTTTCATGAATGTTTTGGACAAATTTCAACTAATAAATAAAAGAATATTTTATCCACATTTAGAAAATGTTTATATAATTTGATGACACACATATAGAGATATACCAACCTTATCAAGATACCAGTCTGGAGCTGCACCTGAGTTATCAATCCAAACACGAATCTTGTATATTTTCCCCAAATCTTCAGGAAAATTCACCTGTAATGACAATTATTAATTACTGTTAATACCAGTTTAACAGTTGTGTAGTGATTAGTCAAGTAATGTTTTGTTTATTTAATTTGTTTATCTTTTTATTTCTTCGTTGTAGTTTATATAGTAAAGTAATATCATTTGCAAATAAAAAATAGTGATTAAAGTAAAGAACGGGCGTATAATAGTATATGTTGAGCATCCACCATTTGAC